CCGTAAGTTCTAAGACTGATTGGACACGCACCACCACTCTTTCTTATCCTAAACTAATCTTAACATCTCCCCAAAACTTGAATAACCCACATCCTTAACTATTTGCTAACAGTAGTCTAATCCTTACTCCCGTTTCTGCCTCTGATATGTCTCTCATTAGATCTTCATGCCTGAGAAGGTGTCCTACAAACCTGTCGCCTATTTTTATTGATTTCCATAGAGTCCTCTGTTCTCCTATTCTTTCTAATACCTCTTCATTTCTAACCTTTTCTATCCACGTTATTTTCATTATTCGCCGGTAACACCACATTTCGAACGTTCCTAACCTTATTTCCGCCGCACCCACTGTTCATGTTTCGCACCCGTACAGCGCCGCTCTCCAAACACACCTTTTTTCGTAAATATGTGAGTTAAAAGAAATCTATTTTTGCAGATTTTCAGTATTCCCGGATTGTTTACTTCAAATGTTTTTTATAATGTTGAATGTGTTTTAAAAACTTCTGCGAGGGCATTCAAGTATTATGTATGCTAACACAGGGGAGAAAGGTCGAGAAGCGAGGAAGAGATCGTAAATCTTACATAATATAAGAACTATACAATAATACTGTTTATTCTTCTTGTTCGCTTATTATTTTGTATTTTGTATTACCCATCAACTATATGCTGTCGAATGCAGATTATGTCCAAAAAGTTTCTGTTTACTCTCCGATGTATGAATTATGTCTCCTAACTACTCAGCTTAAAGAAAAGGATTTGAAGGTAATGTAAGAGTTATGAGAATGGACCAGAAATTTATTAAAACTAGCAGGTATCGCAATTTCGATTTTATTTAGTAAATTACTTGCCAAACAAAAAGGTGCTTCATGTAAGTATACTTACGTAGCATCAAGTTACGGCAGTATGTCACCATCTACTGAAGTATTTCGAATACTAGATAAGGCCCTTATTAAAATAGATATCTTAATCTTATCGAAACAATGACGCAGATTATATACGCGTGAACGGCATGAAAATGAAATTAATATCAATTCTTGATCAGCAATTAATCGAAATTATCAGACGATTTAGATCTTATTTGATCTCGTTAGCATTTTCTGACCCAACCTCTGTTGCTCTATATAAGTTTGATTATACATATAATCCCATACGGTAATATGTCGGCATCTTAATTTTTGGTTTGGTCGGTGATTTACCGCGTAAAATAAGATAGAAATTGTGATCCAGGTGTCGTAGTTTTGATGAAAAACTTTGGGTGTTTCACTCCCACCAGATACTAATGCTGGTAGACAGACAGCCTTTTAGGAACCGTGGGAATGGATGGGTGGTGGTTGAGGTGAGGAAATTGAGACGGACAAAACAAAGCAAGATATTAATAACGAAATGAAGACAGAAGAGAGTGGAATATTACTGCCCCAGAATTTGCCTAAGTACTCAAGGAAATACCAGAAAAAGTTCGACCAGGGCGAGTTCGGGACTTAAGCGACACTACCAAAAGCGACATTACTGGAAAAGTGGGACATTTTTTCTGCCCCTAATATGTCTCTGACTAGATCTTCATGCCTGAGAAGGTGTCCTACCAACCTATATTCCCTATTCCTTATTGACTTCCATAGAGTCCTCTGTTCTCCTATTCTTTCTAATACCTCTTCATTTCTAACTTTTTCTATCCTCATCATTCGCCTGTAACACCACATTTCGAACGCTTCTAATCTTTTTTTTTTTACCGCGCCCACTGTCTATGTTTCGCATCCATACAGCGCCAAGTGACTTTTTTCATTGAAGGCGACTCGACCTGCGCCGTCCTCTGCTTTATATCCCTACTACTCCTTCCGTGCTGACTGATCTGACTTCCTAGATACCTAAAATTGGCCACTTCTAATTTTTCGTCTTCTATTAACTACTATTCCTTCCCTTGCATACCAGTGTAAAATTAGGATTAATAACGAATTCAATAAGCCACTTTAACTTACGCGGGTTATCGCATAGCAGTCCGAAACGGCATATAGCAGGCAGACACATCGCAAAAACATGAAACAAATACCGAAGTTACTGTTTTGCATAAAGAAAAGGGGGTAAATGGTAACTCACCGGGGGAATTGCATCCCCCATGCAGATCTTTAATAAAAAACCCATCTTTCCATATCAGATATATATAACAAACCATAATCTTCAGAAATGTACATTTCCACCTGAAACGAGTAGAGGCTCCCCTGGACGCCCGACTACCGCGCTAGTAGTCAGCATCCCAATGATTTGGTGTGAGAACACCAAATCATGTCAACCGGGCGCATGTAGGGCCCCTCACCTACATGTCACTGCTCCGGAGGAACCACATCCCCAGAGAGGACGGGATTTGCGCGCCGGGGGCTTGCACCACACAGATGCATAAAGTACCACACAGGTAAACAACATAATCGCATCACACAGATGCATAAAGTACCACACAGGTAAACANAAGTCTAACAGTGAACATAAACTATCTAAAACTAGTATTTATTGCTAACCTAAAACAAATACGTAAATATAGGTACCAATCTACCAACGAATACAATTCGTAGCTAGGTTCATCTACATATTATATCGAATACTTTAGAAGAAAAAAATATATTTTTCGTTCTGTGTACTAATTAAATAATAATAATAATAATGTATACTTCAACATCAAACATTAAAATGAGCAAATACAATACGTTGTTCGTTCTTTCTTTCTGCTTTTAAACTTCTTTCCATTGAACAATCACTCGTTGAGAATCAGGTGCCATTCCAAATGGTTTCATTCCGTCACTAGTGATGTATTGGTTAACTTGGTAATCCAACAATGTTTTATATTGATAGATGTCTCTACCCAGTTGCTGAAAAATTAATATAAATAGATACATATAGACTCCAATTCCGTGTATCATTTACCTGTGTTAGAGGACTAGTGTTGCTAGTGAAAACACCCACGAAACCTTTTGTGGTTTTACTTTTATTTATTTTCATACAGTACTGTTTTGTCAATACCGCTTCCATTTTATTTAAAGTTATCTCTAACTCCTCCTTGCTAGATGCTAATACTGCTACACTATCTGCAAATCTAAGTATACTAATGTTTTTCCCCTGTATTATCTATCGCTATAGTTATACCGTCTTTGATGATGTTGATCGCGTCTTGGATGTATAGATTAAAAAGTAGCGGTGAGAGTGTGCATCTCTATCTGATTTTAATAAACATTGTAAGGTACTGTTATGGAAGAAAAATTTCATTTCACCTTATGTTTGCTGCGGTTAAATAGAATTACCAATGAAGATAAACAGTCCTTTCTGTATAATTTCCATTTATGAGACTACTTTTAATTTTGGAATCGGACGTTACATTTATTACACTTGAACCAAAACGTGACAAACCGTAAAATAAATAGATTAAGGGATTTTTGCAGTAGTCATTCAAGCTGTTTTTCGTGACAGTACATAAAAATCGCTGACATAAGATTGTACTCACAGCAAATTAGATTTAAATTATATGTTTTACGAATATGTTTTTTGTTGTAACTCTTAATTTAACGAGTCGTTAGATACTTCGCTCTAGAAGAAACAACTTCTATTGTTTTTTTTAACGTATTCCTTCTTTGACAACACTTATTTTGAAGTAAAATCTTTTCTAAAAAAATGATCTTTCGAAGCAGTAGCTAACAGGTTCAATTGTGACGGATTTTCAAATTCCGTGACTTACTAAAATTGTTTAAAATTTAGAGTATAACAGACCGTAAATGTATATGCGAGGAGATATGCAAAAGTAAGAAGTAGTCGGAGAGAAAATCTAAGCTGATATCCCGAGATAAAAATGTTCAGTCTCTCAGAGTCTCTGAAAGCGAGACTCGAGTCTCCGTCTCTCATCGAGTCTCTCTGGTGTCGCTGAGAGAAACTGTCGGAAGACTGCCAAAAAAACTGTTTAGCGTTTCTGAGAGACTCCAATTGCTCATAAAGAGATCCTCATTTCGTATCCAGTCTCTGAACGAGAGACTAATCTGTCAATAGGTGGTGTCTCGATAAACATGGTTAAAAGTTCAACATATTTCAGAGATCTCAGTCTTTCTACGAGAGACTCGAGTCTCTCAATTTTGCAGTTTTATTCATTCAGTCTCTCTGTGAGAGACCCGTATCTCTGAATTAACAATTTTATCGTTCGAGTCTCTCATACAGAGACTGCGAGAGATCCATAAAAACACCTAGGCAACAACTGAGAGACTGTGAGAGACGCTGAAAGACTCTGAAAGACTAAGAGACTGGAGAGAGACTTAAAATTTTTGTCTAGGGATTACCTACAAAAAATTTGTCTCCCGACAAATTGTGATTATGATACAGCCAATCGGCCCAGTTTAGGATAATCAACAATGTTCCCAGACAGAAATTTGATGTTTTGACCAATTGCAACTAGCATTCAGTCGAACCTCTCGAGGTTCGTCACCCTTGGAACCTTTTCGAAAATGTTGGTCTCCGACAAAACAAAGAGGAGACAGTCACTTTACCCAATCGGAGCATCCAATAATCACTAAAAACTGCAACAGTCTCCCAACTTCGGGCACTGCAAAATATAAATGCTATAATTCGTAGTTTCAGCAAATTACTAATCACCATGAACTTTCTGTTTCACCTAATCGTCATTTGCAAAAAGAAACAAACAACATTTTCAAGGAAAAGAAATCATCATCTTCTACAAAGGTAGGACAAAAGAATTAGCAATTTATTTTTAATGATTGTAACTTGATAAGGGAAATAATAAAATTCTACACTAATTTATAGGTCGAAAACGAATGTTCAAGTCGGAAAAATGTTAGTTAATGTTTTACACTTTAATTATGACTATTGAATATTAAATAAGGTCCGTATCTAGGTCGATAATCAAAATTTTATGGGATGAGAACTATGAAACCAATTGGATCTAGGACCCTAAGTATGTCCCTGATAATGACGTCATGTACGAACGACGGCGAACGAACTATTAAATAAAAAATAGCACATCAGTAATAGTTTTTTTATTGTGCAAATATTGTTATTATATTCATAATACTTAATTATATCAAAACATTTTATTAACCTAAAATACTGATCAAAAATATGCCTAATTAATGTAGGCAGATGCCTCTTAAAATGAAAAATAAATAACTTTAAAATTCTAAGTCTAACAGTGAACATAAACTATCTAAAACTAGTATTTATTGCTAACCTAAAACAAATACGTAAATATAGGTACCAATCTACCAACGAATACAATTCGTAGCTAGGTTCATCTACATATTATATCGAATACTTTAGAAGAAAAAAATATATTTTTCGTTCTGTGTACTAATTAAATAATAATAATAATAATGTATACTTCAACATCAAACATTAAAATGAGCAAATACAATACGTTGTTCGTTCTTTCTTTCTGCTTTTAAACTTCTTTCCATTGAACAATCACTCGTTGAGAATCAGGTGCCATTCCAAATGGTTTCATTCCGTCACTAGTGATGTATTGGTTAACTTGGTAATCCAACAATGTTTTATATTGATAGATGTCTCTACCCAGTTGCTGAAAAATTAATATAAATAGATACATATAGACTCCAATTCCGTGTATCATTTACCTGTGTTAGAGGACTAGTGTTGCTAGTGAAAACACCCACGAAACCTTTTGTCTTCGCAATTCGTATAACCTGCTCTTCCATAAACTGCATAACACCAACATTTTCTTTGGTTGTAAGTTCAGAATTCGTAGCCATCATGAACGAATGTAGAATTGTACCAACGCCCTTCGGGAGTATCGAATCTCGTATTGGTCCTTCCAGGAATTCCAAGAATTCAAATATTATTGTCAGCTTAGAATGAATTTCTACTTCGGGTTCATCTCTGGCATCGAAATTGAGAGCCACTCCGACAATTTTTCCAGAATTCGTTTTTGTAACGAAACTCAATTCTTTTTCCACCAACGGTGCCCATATTTTCCCTATCAACTCGTCATAATCTCTTTCAGAAATGTCAGGCATCAGCCATTGCTCCAGGTCAGCTTTTTGGAAGAAACTTGTAGTGATCATTCTGAAATCATTAAGAGCGATCGGTAATAGATGCTGCAGTAATTTAAAAAATATTTAAAAAACCTTACTGAATAACTTCTTTTTTATGTTCGTCTTTTAAATATTCAAAGGAGTAGCAAGGAGGTTGAGTGGTAACTCCGGCGTAACTCTGACTACAGCCCGTCATTCTGTCCAATACTTCTCCAAGATCCATTGAAGCTATGAAGTCTCCAATGCCTGAGAACAAGGTGGTCATATTCTCATATCGAATAAAACACATTGGTTTATAGGTTCACAAGCATAACGCAGATAACACAATCACCTAAACAACTATATGGGTACTCGTCTAAAGCGAATCCATAAATAAAACAATTTCTTTGCAGCTAATACGTTTGGAGAAGTAGGAAATATATCGGGGCTATATAACATACAGCAAGTTCAAAATTTCGATTTTTAAGGCTTGTAAACGACGATTTATTTTCATCATAAGGTCGTCAGTCCTAGGACTGGTTGGACACGCACCTCCACTCTTTCCTATCCTGAAATAATGTTCGCATTTCCCTAAAACTAGAACAACCCATATCCTTAACTATTTGCGAACAGTAATCTAATCTAAATTTACCTCTACCCCTCCTAACTCCTGTTTGTGCCTGTAATATGCCTCTGACAAGACCTTCATGCCTGAGAAGGTGTCCTGCCAACCTATTTCGCCTATTTCTTATTGACTTCCTTAGAGTCCTCTGTTCTCCTATTCTTTCTAATACCTCTTCATTTCTAACCTTCTCTATCCACGGTATCCTCATCGTTGGCCTGTAACACCACATTTCGAATGCTATTAATTTTTTTTTTCCGCCACACCCGCTGTCCATATTTCGTATCCGTACAGCGCCGCGCTCCAAACATACACCTTTGGCAACCTTTTTCGGATTTATAAATTAACCGTTCGCGAGCATAGAACTGACTTCTTTTTACTGAAGGCGACTCGACCCTGCGGTATCCTCTGCTTTATAGATATCCCTAGTACTCCTTCCGTCCTGTTTTATTTGACTTCCTAAATACTTAAAATCGGCCACATCTTCTAATTTTTCATCTCCTATCTGTATATTCGCTCTTTTTTATTTTACCTTTTTTATTTTTAACATTGCCTACAGAGTAATTAGGTTTATAAGCCAATGTTTGGTAAGTATGAAAAAACTTTATTATTAAATATAGAACCTTCATAATTAATTGTAGGTACCTTTTGTATTTTTCGTTTTTATTTGCATTAATAGTATTAGTTAGTTTTTGTTGTTTCTTATATACCTACCTATTAATTGGTTTATTATTGAAGGATTATTTTCACAATAGATTTAATGAACTAGGATTAATTTTAAACTAACAAGATGATGGTATTAACTTCCTCCTTTAGGATTTATTTTAACTAAATACCACCCACAAATATTTGTAGTGTCTGTTTAAGTAACTCACGCTGATATCAGCATTATTTACAATACTAAATAGCCAATGTTGTAGCGAAACGTATGTTACAAAATAAAAGTTTCTCATAACAATTGTTTCTTCAAATATTACTTTTTTAGGTAGCTTTGCCCTTTGCACTTAAAATAACAATGTTTGATAAATTAATTATTATAAGCACTTGTAATAAATGCACTTTTTATAAAGTTTGTGAAAATTCGTGTGCTCTTTATTTACTCTACTTTTTAAAAGTACTTTAGTGGAAGAGTGGAGGTCTAATTTCCGATAACGAAAAGAAATTTATTAGAAAAAAAGCACTTACTTATGTGGTATCCCTTTTCGTTCAAGCTCATAATTGTGAATATCGAGTTGAGGGAATTTCCTCCAATATCATAAAAGTTAGCTTCGATAGAGATAGCAGAACGAGCCGATCTGTTTAATACGACCGCAACAGTTTCAAAAAGAATTCTCGCTGCCTCCATTTGGTTATCGGCCACGCCGGTGAAGTCAATATCCACTTGGAAATTGACGGATCCTAAAAAGAAACTCTTATTTAATTCGATCGGCTATCTATGAAATGGTGAACGTAACCCAAATTGGAAAAGAAAAAAAAATTAATTGACATTAAGTAAAAAAAAACAATTTATACAGGGTGTAACAGAAATAAGTATCGAGCTTACAGGAGCTGGTAGAGTACTGTAAAACATGAAAATTAAATAAATGCTTGTATCACCGTTTTCGAGACAAACGTAGTTAAAGTACAGATAAATTTAATTCCGGCCCTGGTATATGAATACAACAACGCAACGTCGCGTTCAATCAGCTGGGAATTAGTCCTTTTTTTTCTTATGGATTGTTTGTTATTTGACAGATTAGATTAAGTGTGGTTCACAATGTTACGGCCCACCTGTAAAAGTTGTTTATCAATCGCTCATTCTCAATAGGTCAGTGTTGTCCCTGTTGTTACAATGGTGTTTAATACGACAGAAGTTTGTGATATGATCCTGATGTATGGCGAATACGAACAAAACAATAATGCAACAGTTATCGACATTCTCAGCTAAGAGTTCCGCATCCGCGAACGATTTTAAATACGATACAGAGATTGCAAGAAACCGGCATTGTACACCCTACATATGAGGGTTGTGGGCACTGACGTCCTAACTAAAAGACAAAATCCTGGGGTTTATAGGAGACAACTCTCAAAGTAGTACACGGGGAATACCAGGAAACATTGGCTCCTTTTAAATAACAGTGTGACGAATTTTAAAAAAGCAGTTGCTGCATCCTTATCATTTGCAGCGAGCCTTATTTGAAACTGATTTTCAGCTTCGTGGTTTCGACAGAGAAGTGCTGCAGAGCGTAACTGTTGTTATAGGATATTGTTTACAGACAAGTTTGCTATACGCGGGACGGAATTTTGAATTTTCACAATAATCGCCTGTGTTGCCAATTCACGCACAGGATAGGCCTCGGATTGTTGCGATTTTCTTAAAAAAAATTTTTGCTCTTAACCAAACTGCTGGATCCTCTGTGCGATTGTTTACTGCATCTAGTTTACACCCTTCAAAGTTCGGCACTTATTTTTGTTACACCCTGTAGATATCATGGTTTTGAATTGTATGTTAAATACTTACTGACACAAAACCGCGACTTTTTTAGGTATTCATATTTTAGTTATGCAACATACCATAAGTATAGAACTTTTAGATATTTAGTTCAATTCTTCAAACTTTTTTCAAATTAACTGCATCTCCACATTTTAGGAATCAATTGTATCAGGGAAATTGACCCAACTAACAAAATTAAATTCGTTTTTATTGAAACGTTTCATGTCGAAGGAAGCTTTTAAGAAAATTAATAATGTCTCATGAAAATATGGAAATTGTTTATTAACATTAAGCATATCCAACTAAATTTCAACCATCAAAATAAAAAGAATAACACTTTAGAGGAATGATTCATAAGGAATGCCTCATAAATGATCGTAATTAGTGTATTTATAAGTAACATACTATTTTGTTAGTTTTGTGTTTATTACGGGATTTATTAATTGTTAACAGGAAGAGATGCTCATCTAATTTTCGAAATGCAATTGATATGTTACAATAAAAACGTTAGTCGGGTATATTTATCAAGAAGAGTAAAGATGAACTCCTGACGGATTATAAGGAACCATAACAACACCATCATTGTAATTTCTTCTGAGTTTCTTACAATCTTATTCTTTTATCCCTTAACCACACTGCATTACTCATAATGCGATTCTTTATTGCATTTAGTTAATACTATCAAAGCTTGCTAGTTATTTCAGAAACAGGGGCGGCCTTAGTCATTGGAAGGTTCCGGGCGGGTAAATTTTTGCGAGGCCCTCGTCTTTGTGGAATTAATTTTAATGATAATACTTGAAAAATGAAAAGTGATTCATAAATAAGTTTACAGTTTTAAAATTATATATCGAAAATTAAAAAAAAATGATAAAGACAAAGATAGCAAATTTGCGGCTTCCTTTAAGACTATTAAGAAATTCAAATAAACATTAGTAGTACGTACTATTACTACCTAATATTTTTCTAATTAGATTGTTGCGCGGGTGTGCGAGGCCCCTGCAAGAGCAAGGCCCCGGGTGGTTGCCCTGTTCGCCACCCCCAAAGGCCGCCCCTGTTCAGAAACACCCTGCATAAACATACTTAAGATTAGGCTAAAACCAGATCCAATCTAGGGTTGGGAGAGAGTGCGAAATTGATAATGCAACAATAGAAGTGACCACAATAAACTGATTTTGTGGTAATTAGGGTGAGTCTTGTTTATTTATTCATAGAGCCATTCCGTTGAAACGTACGATAAGGAAAGTAAAATACTATAAAATTGAACTTTTTCGGACTTTTAGGAAAATTCGAAAAAGATGTTTTTGTTTTCAAATGAGTGGGGCAATGGAACCCTAACGTGTCAACATTTGTCTAGTTAACGAAAATGTACTTTTATGGTTTTTAGGATTTAAAAAGAAGTAGGTAGTTATTTAACGGTGAATGTGTACTGTAAACACATGTATCTACCTGTCGAAATATTTATAATGTTGACCCTTACTATCTCCTCATCATCTACAATACATTGAACAATAAAAAAAGTGTGGTATAAAACGGAATTAACAATAAATTCATTACTATACTTACGTATTTCCTTCTATTTTGTTAGTTGGAGTTTCATTCCAATATGAAAAAAAACTTTATGAACCATAAAAGTTACTATCAGTCACGTTCAGCTCAATTTTTAATAGTATAAATAGGTACATATGGGGTAGACAATAACGTTACCAGTAAACTTGTGTGAAAATTTTATGGCAGTAAAGGTGTAAAATTTATATTTTATTATTTTTTTAAATTCTCACCAACACGTGCTAATACATTTTACGTCTTTTTTTATGTTCCTTTATAAACGTTCTTAAAGGCAGGTTGCGGTAGAAAGGATTTACAGAAACTACCACAAAAAATACAATAAAACCCAAAAGCACTGGCTTTATATTACCTAAATATGGCGTTTGAAAATATTGCAGGATAAATATTTTAAACATTCATTAATTTTCGTCCTTCATAGATTATTGCGTGTGGATAGAGTTTCCGACATACAGAAAGTTTCGTATTCATGGAGAAGAATGTGGGGCGCGGGAAGTCTATCAGTGTGGTTTCGGGAGGTATACTTCGTTTACTTTCTCTAGCGATGTGCCCCTTCCAATGTCTTGGATGCGCGCTGGCAAAATCGTAGGTAGGGAGAAATAAGCTCATTATACTCTCGACTCTTGTTCATTAAAAATACTTTTTCATACAGTACCTGTCGAAAGTTTTGTTTAATCATGAATAGTAGTGCGAGTCGAAAACAAACGTTAAAGCCTTTAATATGTCTTCAAATATAAATAAATATCCCGTTGATATTTTCAGTAGTAAATGGTACCAATAACAGCACATTTGAGCAATGCAATTGTAGTGGATAAAATGGTCAATTTTTCCGTGCAGTACTGTACGGATTATATTATACGCTCCTCACCGGTTAAGAGTTTGGCCAAGAGTTGTCTCCTTTCTTTTCTGGCCTAGTGCTGTTCTTTTCTACTTTGCGCCGGTCAAGCTAAAGGTCACATCGCTAGGGAAACTAAACGAAGTATAGAGAGCAAGCTGCGGAGAGGCAGAGGGCCTCTTGTCGCTATACCTCTGTAGTTACTCGAGCATGCGCACTACAGAATCTCAATTTTCGTTACTTACATATCTGGCATACCTCCTTCCATTGCTAGAGAGCATCGACGTTTACTAATGGACATGCCTTAGCGGTCAGAATTGTGGTACAACAAAAGAAAGAGATGGAACGAAGTTTCGGACAATATCCATCTCTCTCACGATAGTGCGTAAGCGTGTCATGAAAGAGATA